ATATATTGTTTAAACACCATACTGCCGTAACTTTCTATCTAAAGCAAAAAAAGTAAAGTTTATCCACTCAGTCGTTAGGCGAGCGACCTTTGTTATGTGTCTGCTCAAGTGAAATAAAAGTTAACTTTTCTAGACAGAAGGTTATTTATATATAATATGAACAAACTTAAGATTTGAGAGGTTAAGACGGGTATTCCCAATGTCCAGATAAACACAAACTTCGAATTGTTGAGCCCCTTTTATCAAATGTCTGATAATTTCCTTGTATGTATACATTTCTCATAAAAAATTCCATTTGTAGATCTGGATTATAATTTCTGCAAATAACGATCAATTGGCGTGTTCGAACGTATCGTTATTGATTGTTAAATTGCTTCTGCCGGCCCAGTGCACTCACATGACATAAGGAACTATAGTCAAATATTAATGTTTATTAAAAATAAAAAGTGGAATTGGAAAAACCACAGTAATATGTCTTTGCCAAAATCATTGATACCAAATCACTTATCACTTTTATATAGTTCGACACTAACTACCGGTTTCCGGTTGCTGTTGTTGAGGTTTCCTCTTCTTCTTCAAGCTTTCATATTTATCGAGGAACATTTCTAAATTTTGTAAGTTCTCATTATTTCTCCCACGAGGTTTTGGTTTTGATCACGATGCAGTGAAAGTAATAACACAACTGGAACCAAAAATATCACTTTAGGTGGACTAGTCGAGTTGTCAGATGATACTTGAACAAAACAACGATAGTTTGCTTCATATAAGCTGGTAACACAAACTGTAAACAATTTTGGTTTACAAAGCGCAACTAAGAATGAAACTACTGTAGCTATGTAACCTTCTATAGTGTAAACAAGAAAAAAAGTACACTTAAACTACAGAAAGTAGACAAATCCAAGTCTCAAAAAGACCGTTTCAACTGTATTAAGTAACATTACGTAGTAAATTCATGATGACGAGGAACCCACTTAAAATAAATATTCATGTAGTAGAGACGGCTAATATGGATATTAAAACTTTTATTTAAAAACACAAAACAGGTAACAACGCCCTTAAATCATCATCAGGTTGTGTAGTAAAGCTAACAGCGTATTATAGTATGATTTTAAGTTATTCTACTGCTTTGCTATTTCTTTAACAAATGAATAACTCCCGAAAAGTTTATCAAATATTGGTTATTAATTAGACGTTGCTAGTGGTGTTATTAAAAAAAAAACTTCCTATAAAAATTTCTGTATTTTTATTATTATTTATTATTCACTAGCCAAAGCTTTTTTCTGGAGCGCATTAGATATCTCTATTTTTATGAAACCTACTATACGCTCTGCTGTCACAATGTGAACTGCCGCACATGTGGCACCCTCAGAGGGAGTGTCAGCAGAGTGAGATATTCTATGTAACTGGAAGGCGGATTATAGACGACACTGTACGAGATTTCGGATTATTTTGATGAGAATTTGAAGGATGTAATCATGTGTCTACAATACACTACACTTTCCTTTCGTGTTTGTTTGAAAACTACATTCACTACTGTAAACACGCATGCACGTTGTTGCATGCATATCTTGGACTGTTTTTAAACTGGTTTCGATTTTGCTTCGTTGCCGATCTTGCTTCCAAATACACAAAGAAGAAAGAAGGGGTCTTACAGCTACTACGTGTTGGAAACCTTGAGAATACGACCAGTTTCTTTTGATTAAAAGTTTTTAGTTAGTAAAATATACAATAATTTTATTGTATAACTTGCATTTCTTTCTGATGCTTTCTTGTGCTGCTATTGCAGATGGAAAAGAGAGGAGTAATAGGTTGAAAGGCTAGGTAAACACTGAAAAATGTTCATGATATCGATTTAGTTGTTGAGCAACTCATTGTCTCAGTTTTTTATTTTATTTAACTCGATTTGCTTAGATTTAAAATCTTGGAAACTCATTGAGCCTGAAGTCCCAATGAATGAGATACGAATGAAAGGTTAGATTTATTATCAGCTTTACTGAAGTACTTAGACACACATTGTCCTTACTTATTCTATTGTTTAAACTATCTTAAGATGTAAAACATGATCAAATAGGAAATACCCAGAGTTTTTCCTTGTAAATAAATATCAATACTGATTGAAATTTATAATTAGGAAAAAAAAGGGTGGGGGAGTTCATGAAATTGTTACAGAAAAGCATTACATGTATGATACGGTGATCAACTGGATCCTGATAAACAAGAAACAGAACGTTAAGTATATAACATATCGACTTGTATTAACTATTACTTACATATGTTCGTGTAAGAAGAAGCTGTAATTTTTGTAATACTCTATGTATAACTTATTGTATTAGTTGTTTTTAATACTACGTACATGGATCGTATTCTAACAAGTTGTTTTTGATTTAACACTGTATACTTGTGTGATTTAAAATGAGTTTTTGGTTTTTTTTCTTTCTTTCATCTACTTTACCCATTTCGTTCTCCGATTTCTCAATTCTTCCAATATATAGCAGACGCCTGAATAACGAAATGATCAAACATTGTATTTTTACTGTGCCTAAACTATATGAAAGATCCCTGAAAATGCAAAAAAAATATATTATTTATTATACCGTACTTCAGACATATACACCCTATTAATGTTTTAAACTGTACTATTATTTTCTAGCTTTCTTCACTTACATTTAGCTACTGCTCTCTGGAAATTAAAAAAAAACAAAAAACATTAAAGTGTATTCCTCCTATCATTTCCTTCATAGGAGGTTTTTTGAAACATAAGATGCTAATATATGCAGGACACTTTAAATAAAACCTGTTTTACATAGATCAGCTGAAGGAATCAACAGACTAGCTGCCCCTGGATAACTCAATGTTTAAGATGTGTGGTTTTTAAGTAATTTACAAACATTTAAGGTGGTTAAAATGATACTGTTGACTGTTTCAACAAATACAGTAAATAAACCTAATAGTGTACATAACTGAGAGATCTCTTATTAGGTCGCTTGACTCGGTCTGAGAATCGCGGGTTCCAATCCCCGTCACCGAACATGCTCGCACTTTCAGCTGTGGGTCGTTATGATGGATCGGTCAATCCCACGATTCGTTGATAAAAGAGTATCCCAATTGTTAGCGGTGGGTGGTGATGACTAGATGTCTTTTCTCTTGTCTATCACTGCTAAATTAGGGACGGCTAGCGCAGATAGCCCTCGTGCAGCTTTGCGCGAGACTTAAAGCAAAACAAATCTTTTATTAATAACAGTGCCTTGTGATCACAGGGTTAGGTTAAAAAAAATTACTAGAGTTAGTGTAGTTCCTAGCTTAAGAACGTTAATAATATGTTACGAGGCAAAATAAAAGATAACATATTTTTTTCCAAACACCTAATAAAAAAAGTCAAAGGATAAAGAAAGCATTTCCCAGAAAGTTATAAAAGTAGCAGCCTTGATCATTAAATACGAAAATAATATTACATATCTTATACCAGAAGACAAAAAATAATGATTTAGGAAAGTTAAAAAAAGCTACAATTAAGTTTTAGGTACGATTTAATGTAATTCGTTGTTAAGCGTACATTATATTGATTAACAAGAATTCTGAGGAACCCTGCGGAGAATTTATCGGAAATTAACTCTTTACACAAGATTTTGGAACAGCTTTATGAAAACAATGAGTTATTTTAAAAAATTGCATTTACATCAAGGATAATTTTTGGTCTTTTGACTTAAAGTATGTAAAAGTTGGAGAAGCCCGTTATTGAATACAAAAATTTAATATAAAAAAAAGGTTTATACGTTAAAAACAAAACACTTTAAAATTACAAGTTATCTGCGATAGAGCTTCTGTAGAGAAAAAAGAAAATATTTTTCTAGATTTAAGCAACTTATTTTCCAATAGAAGAAATTTTAGTTTTCTCTGAAAAACGTTTGGTAAAATTTTCATTATTTCATAAATATAATTAGTCTATTAAATTCAGTGAAAGATACGTTAGATGTTGTTTGTTATGAAGCACAAAGCTTAATACACATAAATAAATATTTTTAAAACTTTTGGTATTTTGAGAAACGAAACACGAAAAAATAAAACACTGAAGCAGATAAATTATTGTAATAATGGATACCTGAATATTAATGCTACTACTTTAATGATGAAAATAAATTATTTCAGACCTCTGTTTAAAAAACAGTTCGGTAAAAAGCACTCCCAATTTTTAAGATTTTTATATAATTCCAGTGAGCTGGCTATTAGCGTGTAAATAGGCCCGAATTAATCGAAATTAACCTGCCACTTTCATTTGAAAAATCTGTGAAAAGAATTGACACAGAAATTAATCCCACAACACGTACAGATATAGAGGATAAAAAGAACTTAGCAAACAAGAGGTATTATACAGGGCAAACTTAGAAGTTGAATTTGTTATGTTACATTAATACAGTTAATTGTACTAAATTGTTTTATAAAAACATCTGCCTGTACTATTATTAACAGCATAAGATCATCTCCAGTTATCAAAGAGACGTTAAAGTTAAAGTTAATATTTTTGTCTGCTCAAAAAACTTTGGCCTAGTGAAGACTTAAAGCAAAATCAGCTGTTGGTTAGTTTTTTTTATTTACAGAAATTTATGAGTATAGATACCAAAGTTTCTAAACATTTTACTAATGAATAAAAGCAAAATATTGCTACAGTTTAAAATGTTTTCTGAACTGCTTTGACATATACAAAAGTAAGATTAGTGAAAACTGGCCATGTTTTATGTGTATCAGTTTCTTTTTTGTCATAAATGTTTATTAGCAGATAATTATGTTTAAAGTGAAGAGACTTCATATATCTTTCAATATATCTTACATTGTAACACTTTTAAAAGTAGGCACCGTTACAGCTAAAAGTATGAAACTAGCACTGAGAGATTCTGTTTAATCTTGAATTCGAAGGTCGGAGCTCAGGCTCGTGCTACAAATTTTAGAATTGCAAATAACTTGGAAAATTGTATATCTTAATAAAAAAAACATTTATTTTGTAGCTGTTCGTGATCGTGATGAAGTCATGGAATACGGAAGTAGTCAAGCCGAAAAAGGTAAGTTCTGAAATGTACTTTACTCAGATTTTGGATTATAGTTTATATCAGTAGCTGTAGATCATCTGTTTCAGTCGCATAAGTAATATTATGCCTAATTCATAAGAAACTTGTCAATGTAACTCTGAGATTAGCTTTAAATTAGCAGTAATTTTTCTTTCTTTTAAATATAACAATTTATAAGTGTCGACTTTATAAAGAGTATCGCTTATGTGTTCTCATTCAGTAGGATTGTTTGTTTGTTTGTTTGTT